AACTTTCCAGAACATTTAAATGTCACGTGACACCCGGGTTCTTATGGGTTAAAACAGAACACATTCAAACAATTCAATAACGGTTAAGTTTGGTATCGAGATTAAAGCTGCTGTGTTTGCAGAGAGTAGACCTCGATGTTCAGACGACACAGACATGTCAGTACTGTGAGGTCATGCTGCCCTCTAGTGGTCAAACGTGTGAAGTTCTTTGTAATATATGTCACCTCCAGGAACAAACCAAATATCTGCAGAACAAGTGAAGCGCTCTCACCTTTATTTCAGCAGCCATTTTGTCGATAGCAAATCCATTAACTGTGAGCTGCAAAGACACGACGACAGGAAACGTGTGAGCGGAGTAAACAAAAACGACATTGTGAAAAGTTAGACTTATTCACTCAGCAGAATAAATGGTTCTATTTGTTGTTGATCTACCTGGAGCTCACCTGAGCTTTATGCCCTTTTATGGAATAATAGGAAAAACGTTTTTACAACAAAATAAAACAACAAATCAGTTGAAGACAATAACCTTTGACCCTCACGGGAAGCATTTTTGGATTCTCAATTGTTCCATTATTTTGGCAAAGGGTGTGAAGTTTCTTTTCAAATAGTAAAACTGCTGGTTTCAAAATTGTAAATTAAATAGTTGACCAGATTGAGCCATTATCTAATGTTATGAATATATTAATATTAATCATATATGTTATACATTGTTTTCATAATGATTAGGTTAGTTAAAACATTTGACTTTGTAATAGAGAATAATATGAATGTATAACTTCATGGTAATTGTTTGACCCAGATAGCTTTTCATTTCGAGGCACAGTTAATGTCTCAGGGCCACAATCAGTGTTTTATGTACCTTGATGAGCCGTGATATGAGGAAGCCGCCCTGGTAGCGGTTGTAGAGCTCCTCCCAGTTGTCCTTCACAAACTTCCAGGCAGCTTTGCGGCCTTGTTTACTGCTGTCAGCGACGCCTCCGATCACTAACACTGTGTCCTGGGGACGGACCTCTTCCTGGGGGGGGTGGGTGAGAGAGAGAGGTTAGCTTAGGAGAGGTTTGATCAGCCAACGTCTTCACTGACTGGAGGAAAATCCTGTCACACTTTGGACGTTGAACTGAAAAGCAGAAAGCTTATAAAGTGATTCTCTACGGATCACTTGGTGTGTTGTTTTATTGCAGAGTCAGTGTAATCATTACACCAAACTGGGTCACATTCTCCTCCAAAACACACAAGCAGTAAAAACAGCCGTCATGTTTTTGAAATGCAACCTTAAAGTGTTGCAATCTTTGAGGAACATATGTTTCAAGGTTCAGGAGGGATAGTTTTATAACACAGGATGAGGATCAGAGAGTCAAGACACAAACTGACCTGGGGTCTTTCAGAAGCCCCCTTCAGTGTATCCTCTTGAGGTTTAGTGATTATAAAGCAGGTAACTGGTCCAGGGGGTGTTCTACGACATGCGTTTCTTTTATTCTGCATGTTCCTCACTGCTGAGCACTCACTCACTCACTAAGACACAGCGTTTGCAAGCATTACGAGGTTTTTAAGGGAGTTCATTGTTCCATTGGATTTCAAATAAGATCTATGGCAAACCCAGGTTTATGATACTTGCACGTTTTGTACAGCAGGATAATTTCCACATATCAACACACAGCAAAAAGCTAATGTTGGGCTATAAAGAAACTACAGCACGGACACATGACTTCACATCACCACCACTAAGCTAAAGGAGGCTAATGTTGGGCTATAAAGGAACTACAGCACGGTCACATGACTTCACGTCACCACGCTAAGCTAAAGGTGGCTAATGTTGGGCTATAAAGGAACTACAGCACGGTCACATGACTTCACATCACCACCGCTAAGCTAAAGGTGGCTAATGTTGGGCTATAAAGGAACTACAGCACGGTCACATGACTTCACGTCACCACCGCTAAGCTAAAGGTCGCTAATGCTAGGCTATAAGGAAGTAAAGCACGGTCACATGACTTCATGTCACCACCGCTAAGCTAAAGGCGGCTAATGTTGGTATAAAGGAACTACAGCACGGTCACATGACTTCACGTCACCACCGCTAAGCTTAAGGAGGCTAATGTTGGGCTATAAAGGAACTACAGCACGGTCACATGACTTCACGTCACCACCGCTAAGCTAAAGGCTCACTCTCTGTTTGGCCAAAGCCAGACAGGAAACACCAGTAGTTCTCCGCACGGTAAATATAAATTCTGAGCACGTTCACGCTTCCAGCCGCTCTCATCTTGATTGAAACGCCGCCCCGCAGCTGACTTCCACTCATTGAAATCACTGGAGTTAGAGAGATACCGCGACTCAGTGTGAAGATACTTCTCATAATTACTATCACGGGGGTTACTGGAGTGTAAACTTCCCCAAATCCAAAAAAGAGCTGCTTACATAAACCTTAACTCTGTATGCAGTCACAGCTGCTCACTGTTTAGAGAAGAGCTTTGTGAACATGATTGTCAAATTAATCTGTAATGGAAATCGTTGACTGCTGCACAGGATGTAATTTATATCAGCAGTTAATAGAGTTTCCATTTAGTGTTGCAAATATAGGCTTTATGGTTTCCTCTATTAGATCAGCAATGGCTTAATATGTTGTCAACAAGCATGGTGTTCGGTTTAATTTCACACAGGATTCCTTTTTATTTAAGAGAGAATGATTTATGTTCAAAGGATCTTCCCCTGTTTCGGTTATTTTGTAAAAATAAATAACGGGTGAATGAAATCCAAGTTAAAATGTGTTTTTTTTAAGAAGGATCTTCAACAAACAAGGATTTTCTATTGAGTCTGTAGAATACCGGGACTTCTCTTCAGCCCCACACTGATTCAATTCACCAAAGCATGGTTTACATTTCCTACTATGTTGTGTTTCGCAAGTGTCCTCGTCATTTCAAGTGTTAGTCGTAAAGAGAATTGTTTTTTCCTTGCAACAGGATGAAATCCTCATTGCTAGAAGTCGAGAAATGTAAATTCCCCGATTACACAAGAGGCTCCCGCTGAGGCGTGGAGGATAAACATTTAGCAGCTCAACTCCCTCCAGATAAGCTGCCGACATCTGCCACTGTGCCTCAGAGTTTCTCCCCGGTCACACCTACAGTCTACTTTCTTTGGTCCGTTCCAAATATGAAAAGTTTACGATTTGGTTTCTCAGGGTATACGCAGGAATCCTGAATTCAAATGTAAGACCTTTTCTCAGACCCTTTCCATACATTTTAAGACCTCATCGCCACTTTGAGTTCTAACCGGTTACCTTGGCGACACACTTTACCTCATATTTACTATTTACAGTATTGATTGTCCTTCCTCCTTATCTTCCAACCATTTGGACGCAGACTTGCATTTCCCCATAACGATGTTGTTTAACAACCGGCGTAAACTGAGCTTCGTGCTATCAAGCAGTGAGCGTGCGATGTCCTGTTCAGATGACGTCAAATCCAACGGGATGCCATAAATAAACTACACAGAATCACACTACACACCTACGCAATGATTACATTCAGGCAGACTGTAGAATACAACCTCTTTGGACCATTTAAATACTTATTGAAAACAAGCTACAAAATGTAATACCTTGGAAAATGCCCTTTAATACTTTTTAAGACCCCGCGCACACCCTGTTTCTGCACTTGAAACTATTGCAATTGTAAAGCTGTCCAAAATAATTGCAACTGGGTATTTTCTGAATCTTGCAACCCTATCAGACCTCCAGAGGAAGAGTAAACACCTGCGATAAGCTGCTGACATTGCGAGAGTGGCTCATAAATCTGTCTATTTCTTTGGTCCCTTCCAAATATGAAAAGTTTATGATTTGGATTCTACACTTGACACTATTACGATATCAGTTATTTTTTTAATTGTAACTATGCGATGCAATTTCGGTAATTGTCTGTACTGTAAAGCCCCTACTAGCTTTAGAGTAGGGCTGCTCAATTAATCATATTTTAATCACAATTACGATTATGGCTTGCAACGATTACGAAAACAACGTAATCTTTTTNCTAAAGGTGGCTAATGTTAAGCTATAAAGGAACTACAGTACGGTCACATGACTTCACGTCACCACCGCTAAGCTAAAGGTGGCTAAAGTTGGGCTATAAAGGAACTGCAGCATGGTCACATGACTTCACGTCACCACTGCTAAGCTAAAGGTGGCTAATGTTAAGCTATAAATGAACTACAGTACGGTCACATGACTTCACGTCACCACCGCTAAGCTAAAGGAGGCTAATGTTGGGCTGTAAAGGAACTACAGCACGGTCACATGACTTCACGTCACCACCGCTCTAAGCTAAAGGTGGCTAATGTTGGGCTATAAAGGAACTACAGCACGGTCACATGACTTCACGTCACCACCGCTAAGCTAAAGGTGGCTAATTTTGGGGTATAAAGGAACTACAGCAAGGTCACATGACTTCACGTCACCACCGCTAAGCTAAAGGCGGCTAATGTTGGGCTATAAAGGAACTACAGAACGGTCACATGACTTCACGTCACCACCGCTAAGCTAAAGGTGGCTAATGTTGGGCTATAAAGGAACTACAGCACGGTCACATGACTTCACGTCACCACCGCTAAGCTAAAGGTGGCTAATGTTGGGCGTGATGACGTTTAGCGTCTCATTTAGAAACTTGTTTAAGAAACATAGAATATAATTAGTATGTGTATTTTTTGCGTCGAACTAAACGTGTGAATCTCTTCAGTGTGTTAACCACTCACGTTATTTTAGGGGAACCAAAAGTGCTAAAATACTGACTAATTCTGGATTTTAGGATTTATTAACNCGCTAAGCTAAAGGTGGCTAATGTTGGGCTATAAAGGAACTACAGCACGGTCATATGACTTCACGTCAACAACGCTAAGCTAAAGGTGGCTAATGTTGGGCGTGATGATGTTTAGTCGTCTAATTTAGACACAAACGTTTATTGTCTCTGCTGGAGATACTGTATATGAATATTTGTATTGATATTTCGACTGACCGTCAGGAGAAAACTGGTCTCGTTCGAACACAGTAACACACAGGACGTCCTGCTCCAGGTCCTTTATAAAAAACTGACAATTGGAGTTCCACTTCGGATTCAACGTGTCCTAAAAGAGACACAAAAACAGAAAAGAAAGATCACAGAAGATGTAAACATTTCTCTTAGTTTCCAATCAATGAAAAAAATAAAATGTTGTGAACGCTTACCTGTAGTGTTTTAGTGATATGGCACTGTGAACCCATGGTCACCTCACAGTATGGGTTACTCTTTCCTGGAAACACACAAACACATGTTAATATATATATTTATTGTTCTATAGATATTGCGATCATGAATTTATTTTGAATTGATGATATTGTGATCGCACTTAATAGCATTTTTAGGGTTTAACATTATATTGAATGGGCATCACTAGCATAAAGCTAGGACAAAAGGGTTTGGATTAAACATTTCAATTCAAATAATTGAATGAATGAATAATTAATAAATACATGTTTTAAACTGAATTAAAGCAGTGTGTTGTACCCATTACAATGTTTATATGTTATGTGTACACACTAAATGGCGTAATGGGGCAACAGCTATAATGATGTCCATGGTACAGGTGTGTGTTTTTAGTTTTGGACCGTGTGAACGTGCACACGCTGTTTTTTATTGGAAAATAAATAGTTTTGAAAGCAAAGAACTTTGTCGTCAATGGAGATTACACACGTCCAATTAGATCACCCAGTTTAGCCAATCCCTCGGTGATATTGAGTGGCAACAGTCACCACACAGTGTGTACGTACCATGTGAGCGACAGGGTTTCAATTCAATTCCCTCCACGATGTTGACCATCAGTCGGCCGATTCCTGTCGCCCTCTGAGAGCGAACTGAGAAAAAACATGTGTTATTTATTCAGCCTTTTTTCAGGAACACACAAAAAGAAGTCATTGACAGCGGTTTCTTCTCCCGATATGATACTGTACCCTGGTGTTATTGGTTCGCTGTAAGAGTGTGATGAACAAGCTCTGTTTTTACTTCGAATAATCAGATTTTTGTTTTTAAACTACAAACATGGAGGAATTAATATCTAGAGTTACCTAGATACGCTTTCTCTCTCTTCTTCTTCTCCGTCTCGATAAAGAGCTCTGAAGCGGCCTTGATCTTCTGGACCCACGCCGTCCTGCACAAACAACACAAAAAACACACATTATTTTTAAAGGTAATCCAGATATTTGGAGCCCAGACACAATACATCAAGCTGCAATAAATCGATGATTTTAATTGTAATAATGTCTGTAATTCTAATTCGGAAACACAAATACAAGCATCACAATTGATTACTTGAGTAATAGTGCTCAGTTACTGTACTTCAGTGCAGTTTTACCTCTCGTTACCCTTTAACCTTACCTATTATGCTATATTGGAAAAATATATTGTAGGGCCATACCTATACAAAACATGTCTGTGAAGTCTTTTTTTCAAAATACCAAACAGTTCCCCCGTTGTAGCCATGCCTCATACTGCTCAAACCCCTATTTTGCAGCCCTGTTAGAGAAACGCGGATTTTGGGTCCTTAGCTTGAAAAAAATAAAAAGAGGGGGCGGAGCTAATGCCTGATCAGAATTCTACCGGAGATCGATGGAATAAGTTAAATTCTGTTTTGAGAAAACGCCATCCTGTTCTAAACCACATCAAGAATTATTTTTGAAACCATATGGAGCTCAAATGCTTTTTCTCTTGCAGGTTTATCACAAGGTGAGTTCCTTTTTTTATTTCCTGCTTTTTAAACACATGTGCTCTCCAGTACACGTTAGCTCTGAGTGTTAGCGAGGCTTGCTAATGTAAACAAAGACGAGATTACGTCCAAAACACGTCAGGCATTGTTTCTGATAGCAACTTTCTGTGGGTCCGCCGCCGATTTGACGTCATATCGGCAGCAAATCTGGATCAGCTCCGTTGTAGCCCCGTTTTTAAAAGATTTGGGTACGGAGGAAAAGAGAGAGGGTTTTATTTTCTGACGCCGCTGCGTGAGTTCCCCGACAGACCGGGGACACATGTTTATGTATAAAAGACATCAAAAAGTGCTTTTTGCAAGATGGGTCCCCTTTAATGTTATCTATTTATTTGTATTATGCTATTTTATATGTTCTTTCCCAATATGACTATGTATGTCATTACGTATGATATTCCTGTCATGCTATGTTTTTTCTTTATTATTTCCTGTTGGCTGTTCTGTTTGTCTTCTATGTTGAAAAAGGGAAGCATGATTTCCACTCCAAAGAAGTACACTTGTATGCTTCTTCTCAATACAAATATTTGAAACAGTTGTACCTCTCGTTGATGCTCTCGGCCCGCAGCGTGTAGACTCGGTCGATGTGAGAGATGTGGAACAGCGGCTCGTCTCCAGACGGGTCGGTGGGCAGCTTCACCAACACCTCGTTCAGGAAGATGGGCTGAAGAGAGAGTCATGTTGTAAGTCATGGTGGGGTATGAAAACATTTACTGCAAATCTATGTATTAGAAATAAATGATACCTCACTTCAAATACAGTGTTTTTACAATACATACAATATATTTCTAAATGTAGCAAAAAATCTTAGGTACAGTTTTCACATTTTTTGTTATTTCCTTCAATTGTATTATATATTAATTTAATTAATTAACACGTTTCTTTTGCAAGTTCCAAAACAGTTTTTCCTGTATTATGTAGGTAATTGACATTAAGTGTGAGTTTTTGTGTGAGTTTTTGTGTGTGTGCGTGTGTGTGTGTGTGTGTGTGTGTGTGTGTGTGTGCGTGTGCGTGTGTGTGTGTGTGTGTGTGTGTGTGTGTGTGTGTGTGTGTGTGTGTGTGTGTGTGTGTGTGTGTGTGTGTGTGTGTGTGTGTGTGTGGTCTTACCGTCTTGTACATGCGATACTGCAGGTGTGTTTTCGAGGAGAACACTTTGTCCGATCCCGACCAGCCCAGAGGTTTGGTCACCTGTGAGGACGGGAGTTAGTTAAATATTTATTTTATCAACACTACAATGTCTCCCTTCTGAAGTGTAGTAAATGTACAGGAAGTACCTGTGTGAGCAGCAGGAAGTCGTTGAACAGGAAGCCGTACAGCTCCTTGCTGCTCTTTGCTTTGAACAGCTTCCCGCTGTGGAGGAACTTCCTCGGACCCAAACAGTTTGTGACCGAGTTAAACACCAGCTGCTGTAGGATGGAGAGAGAGAGAGGGGTTAATGTCTTATAGTTCATAAACACTATGATAAATAAGTCTTACGTGACCACTTCAAATGCAATATGTTGTCTAGATGTTTCTGACAGTAGCAATATGATTAAAGAGGCATTACTCAGGTAAATATCAGTATGTAGTGTCTCTACTTTAAAGAGTCCTCTCCTGCTGATGTTCAGGTGTATATCAGTATGTAGTGTCTCTACTTTAAAGAGTCCTCTCCTGCTGATGTTCAGGTGTATATCAGTATGTAGTGTCTCTACTTTAAAGAGTCCTCTCCTGCTGATGTTCAGGTGTATATCAGTATGTAGTGTCTCTACTTTAACAAACTAATAAAGCCTGGTTACCCCCCTCCTTCTTTAGAGTCCCCTGGTGCCCAATGTTTCAGCTTGGAGTGTTTTTTTTTTAAAGCTGCAAATTAAACCTTGATTGTTCGTTTTTCGNAAACAAGCTACAAAATGTAACACCTTGGAAAATGCTGTTTAATAGGCTTAAAGTGGACCTATCATGCTATATTTGAATAATATATTGTAGGGCCATACCTATACAAAACATGTCTGTGAAGTTTTTTTTCAAAATACCAAACAGTTCACCCATTGTAGCCATGCCTCATACTGCTGAAACCCCTCTTTTGAAGCCCTGTTTGAGAAACGCGGATCTTGGGACCTTAGCTTGAAAAAAATTAAAAGAGGAGGCGGAGCTAATGCCTGATCAGAATTCTACCGGAGATAAAGTTAAATTCTGCTGTGATAAAACGCCATCCTGTTCTAAACCACATCAAGGATTATTTCTGAAACGGTATGGAGCTCAAATGCTTTTTCTCTTGCAGGTTTATCACAAGGTGAGTTCCTTTTTTTATTTCCTGCTTTTTTAAAAACACATGTGCTCTCCAGTACAGGCTAGCTCTGAGTGTTAGCGAGGCTTGCTAATGTAAACAAAGACGAGATTACGTCCAAATCACGTCAGGCATTGTTTCTGATAGCAACTTTCTGTGGGTCCGCTGCCGATTTGACGTCAGTTCGGATGGAATCTGTATTCGCTCGTTGTACCCCCGTTTTTAAAAGATTTGGGTACGGGGGAAAAGAGAAAGGGTTTTATTTTCTGACGCTGCGTGAGTTCCCCGACACACCGGGGACACATATGTATGTATGTATCACAAAGTGCATTTTGCATGATAGGTCCCCTTTAAAATTTCGCTAAATTCATTTATCAACCTTTAATCGTTTTTAAGACCCCGCGGACACCCTGTGCTCTGTTGATTTAATTTGGGTCAATTTTAGAAAAATGTTGCATCTAGAAAGGTCTAATTTTGCAGAAAAACACATTGTAAAAACGCAGCACAAAATGCAAGGGAAAGTACTCGACACACTCACCTGTCTCATCTTTTGTCTCAGTCTTGGCATCTTTCTCCTCAGAGCTAGAGGCAAAGAAAAAAAGCAATAAGCAAACAGCAGTGAGGGTCCCCACCATCTCTCCTCATACAGATGTTTATAGTTGTGTTTTATGGTGTAATACAAACTGACAGTGATCAGCCCATCATGATCCATAGAGCAGGGATTTAACAGTGCATAAATGTATTTGGCAATCCCAATACTTTACTTGTTAATGGGTAATAAAGTCAGATCGGTGAGTGTAAAGAATCACAAATGAAAACGGACAAATACACAGAACGTTTTTTTTTTTTACCTCCAAAAAGAGCAATCCAAATTTTGCTAGCACAAAGGAGCCAATGCAACAGAGATAGCCATTTTGGTTTCTAGTAGAGATAAAGCAACAAACCTCTTTTTCGGATCATCACCCTCTACAGAAGAGGACTCTTTCACTGTGGACGCTGAATCCGCGGCAGCTTTCTCTTCTGTCTTCTCATCCTCCTCCTCACCCTCCTTAGCCCCCATTTCTGTATCAACAGTTTCTCCCACAGTGCCCTGTACGCTATCACTAACAGCCTGCGTGCTTTTGTTTTCAGAGTCAAATGTCTCTTCTGGGGCTTTCTGTGTGTCCCCAACCTCTAAGGCGTCCGTCTCGACAACATCCCGGATGGTCTCGACAACATCCCGGACGGTCTCGACAACATCCCGGACGGTCTCCACAACATCCCGGACGGTCTCCACGTCTCCAGAGGCGGCCTGCTCGGACTTGTCTCCGGTGTCGGACACATTGTCTTCCCCTCCGGCCGCGGCAGCTTGCTCTTCTTCGGGGATCGTCTCGGGGCTCTGGTGCTGATCTTCGTTAAGTGGCTCAGATAAACAAGACCCGGCTACTTTTTCATTTTCTACGGATTTAACAGGAATAGAATGGCACAGAGTTTAATCACTTCTGAAACACAGCAATGGTTAACGAGGAACTGGCAAGGCCTGGATTAGGAACGGCATGACCACTGGCCTGTGCCTTAGAAACTATGAATTAAAACGATGAAGCAGACCCTAACGAGAGACTGGAAGAGAACCCAAAAGGCTGGAGGACAACTGAGCAACTGGTGCCACTCATTTTTCACCACAGTGTTCACCTGATGCAAAGCAGACAAAGAGTTCAGTGCTGAAGAAAGCCACAAGATCAGCAGTGCGGCAGCAGATTCTCGCTGCAGTCCCGTCTTCTTTCGACCTTTGACGTAACCAGTGTCCATTCGTAATGACAACAACTTTAGCTCAAGTCCAGCAAGTTCATATCCAGCTGATTTCTGAGTCCATGTCTTTAAAAAGTGAGTCTTGGTGGATCTTCTTTGTCTTTGTCTTCATGTGGCAAACCTAGAAAGACTGCTGTCACACCTCCCTGACCATGTTTAATTGCTGTCAATGAGCATCAAGTTGTTAACCACACTTAATTTTTGTAGTGCAAGAAGATAACTGGCATCTTAAATCAATTTGACCAGTAATATGTATAAGTTATGGTTAACCACATTTCAACGCAAAGCCAGCAATTCCCTTTGGGCTTCCAGTCTCTCCCCCTAACAAAACTAAGTGTTTGCATTCCAAGCTCCACACTGTAAAAAGATGCAGCCACCTTTTTTTTCTCAAACCATTTCTTACAGTACCTGTTACTTCTTTCACGTCATCTGCATCTGGATCCTCCGCCTAAAAGAAGAGAATGATGTCTTAATTCAGGGTATATGCAGGAATCCTGAAGTCAAATGTAAAACCTTTCAAGACCTTTTTGAAGACCCTTTCCATACATTTTAAGACACTTGGAGTTTTAATCGGTTACATTGGCGACACACTTTAGGCGCTTTCACACCGCAGTACTTTTCCCACAAAGGTTCATCAGAACTTATTTCATGAGAACTCTTTAGTTCTCATGAACTAAGTACTAGAGATGTCCCGATCCGATCACGTGATCGGGGATCGGAGCCGATCACGTGATTTTCAAAAGATCGGAATCGGGAGAAAAAAATCGGGGATCGGGAGTTTTTTTTCTTCTCGGTTTTTTTTTTAAATACTTTTTTAAATTTTGTATTCAATGTTACAAAACAAAAATGACCATGTTCAAGTCTTAAAGTCATCCTGAGGCCTTAGTTTTGGTTTCAAATTACACAACATCATGTATGTGTTGCTTCTTTGGGGCTTGTTTTCATAGACCTTGTTGCTTATTTCTCTCAAATCTGGCAACAGAGTGGGCAGGGCGCAGTGTCTAATTGTAGCAGT